AGAGTAGATATAATATTGACCCAAGCAGCTAATAAGTTCCAGTGAACTCTCGCCCAGTTTCCTGTGAAATGTGGGGGCCACACCAGCTTCACAACTTGCAGTCTGTTCATTAAACAGCGTGTCATTATTCTTTGTCCATGATTTCAAAGAACGGATGTTGATATTTCTTTAATATTATTTTTTGATGTTTCATCGTGTTCTTTAAGTAGCCAAGTGTATCCGTTAATTTCAGACACTTTAAGATTTCTTTGATTTAATCTCGGTTCTGATATTTTCTAGAAGCGAATATTGGTGGTCTTTTAATATTTATATATGATACTTAAGACGAGGGTTGCCGAATGAGTTAAAATCGTTTTGAACAATATTTCAGATTTTGAATTGAAAACTTCAGTTAGTTAGGTAATTGGGTTACTAGTACATGGTTTGTGAGTCTGGATATTGAGCAAGACTACTGGGTTCGTCTAACTGAGGCTACTGACTTTTGCTTATGAGTAGGGCATCTTGGGACGGCTACTTAGTCTATGACTTGGGATTACACATATAGAGGCAACGGCTTTTGAGTAAGGCTTTAGGGCCGGCTACTGAGGCTATGGCTATTAAGTACCGCTTAATGGGTGGCTATTGAGTACAGCTTTAGGGCCGGCTACTGAGGCATGGCTATTGAGTACAGCTTTAGGGCTGGCTATTGAGGCATGGCTATAGAGTACAGCTTTAGGGCTGGCTATTGAGGCATGGCTATTGAGTACAGCTTTAGGGCTGGCTATTGAGGCATGGCTATAGAGTACAGCTTTAGGAACGGCTATTGAATACAGCTATAGGGACGGATATTGAGTACAGCTTCAGGGGCGGCTATAGAGTACAGCTTTAGGGGTGGCTATTGAGTACAGCTTTAGGGCCGGCTACTGAGGCATGGCTATTGAGTACAGCTTTAGGGCTGGCTATTGAGGCATGGCTATAGAGTACAGCTTTAGGAACGGCTATTGAATACAGCTTTAGGGACGGCTATTGAGTACAGCTTCAGGGGCGGCTATTGAGTAGCGCTTTAGGGACGGCTATTGAATACAGCTTTAGGGACGGCTATTGAGTATCGCTTTAGGGGCGGCTATCGAGTACAGCTTTAGGGTCGGCTATTGAGTACAGCTTTAGGGACGGCTATTGAGTAGCGCTTTAGGGACGGCTATTGAGTACAGCTTTAGGAGCGGCTATTGAGTAAGGCTTTAGGGACGGCTATTGAATACAACTTTAGGGACGGCTATCTGGTATATCTTTATGGGCGGCATTTTCTTATTGAGTATAGCTTTAGGGGCGGCTATTGAGTACAGCTTTAGGGACGGCAATTGAGTACAGCTTTAGGGACGGCAATTGAGTACAGCTTTAGGAGCGGCTATTGAGTAAGGCTTTAGGGGCGGCTATTGAGTACAGCTTTAGGAGCGGCTATTGAGTACAGCTTTAGGGACTGCTATTGAGTAAGGCTTTAGGGGCGGCTATTGAGTAAGGATTTAGGGACGGCTATTGAGTAAGGCTTTAGGGACGGCAATTGAGAACAGCTTTAGGAGCGGCTATTGAGTACAGCTTTAGGGACGGCAATTGAGTACAGCTTTAGGGACGGCAATTGAATACAGCTTTAGGGACGGCTATTGTGTACAGCTTTAGGGGCGGCTATTGTGTACAGCTTTAGGGACGGCAATTAAGTACAGCTTTAGGGACGGCAATTGAGTACAGCTTTAGGGACGGCTATTGTGTACAACTTTAGGTACGCCATTTTAAACCTGTAAATAATCCAGTCTTGTGCTGACAAACTAGTGATTGATATTATGAGCAACGGTCCACGGCGTCGAGCTACGATGACGCACACTCAACCAAGTGACCAAGTCTGATCATCATTCCTCTTATTGGGCTCGTATGACAAGACGTAGATTGCAGGGTACCAGTTCTAACCCGGAATCTCAACGGGGTTGTAGAAGGAAAGCTTTTACAGGGCACGTGTCAGATTTACTGTACAGGAAGTAAATGCCTCGGTGATCACAGGTGCTAGATCACGGGACCAGAATTGGGTCAGGTGTACAAACATTAAAGTTGAGTGGTCAGTCTTGTCACTATTCTTGTTGTTGGTGAGACAATCTTTGCAAACGAAACTTCATACCTGTTATCAAGGTGTACAGGGGAATCCGCCTCCTTCCCTGATTTAATGGTTAAAGCAACATCAACGGTGCCGATCTCAATACTGACTCAATAAACATCTAAAGCACCCAGTTCAATCTTTTAATCAACATAAATCTCATTGTCCACCCCTTTCATCAACAAGAACCAACCAGTCTCCACTGTCTACTGACTCATTAAACATCTAAAGCATCCGGTCAAATCTGTTCATAAACATAAATCTCATTGTCCACCCTTTTCATCACCAACAACCAACCAGTCTCCACACCCACCCCACCCCACCACCACCCACCCCGGCCCCCACCCCGGCCCCCACCCCAACCCTACACAACCCTTATTTCAAAGACATTCTTTCAATTTTGACCGTGACGAATGAAATCTTTGCGGATTCAATTGCCCAACAAAACATTACACTCACACAATGGCAGAAGAAGAAAAAGCGGAAGAAAATTATTTGATTAAAGAGTCGCATGCTAAATTACACTTAACTGCAATAGAAAGTATACATCCATGTTTGATGGTGGCTCAAAATGAAACAAACAAGAAATGGTTATTCGATGGTGATGTATCTGATACCGGTACCATAGCTGTCTTTGGGTCGGCGACATTTGTAATTTTGGGGTCAAATCGAACTTCCAAGTGTATACTATTTATTGCCCGGCATTTTACAAGATACAGAGTTCAGCACATCACTAGTCTTAGGCATCATCCGGGCATTAGGCCCACGAAACACTAACATACCTTAAAACGGTAACAAAAATGAGATAAGATTGTCGTAAGATTTTAAAATATACAGGGAAGCACAACCTCAAATACTGACATAAACATTTTACGTTTGAACACCCACTGTCAAATAAATACCAATACACACCATACACACCTGCATACACACTTATACACACACACGCACCCATACACACATACATGCAAACCAACGCAATCATCCACATACACTTAAAAAGCAACATACACGCACACACATACACACACACGCACACATACACACGCACGCACGCACTCACACACGCGCGCACGCACCAAGCACGCACACATACACATGCAGAAAACACAAACTTAATGTGTTAACTGCGCCTAATCAGGCGAAGGGTTTACAAACTTATAAACTTTGTATAAGTATAAAATTTTAGGATACGTGTAGGAAATTAGGCTAAAAATGCAATATCTCTAAAAAATCGCACCTCTGAATAAAAGTTATAACTAGCTATAAAGTGAGCTTCTACTTCTTGCAGTACGAGCTCGTTCCATGACATGGTCTGTATAGTCTGTCCCTCTAATGGTATATTAGGGTGGGAAAAGTTACTCAATTACTAGATATAAAGTCACTCAGAACGCTGCGGTGGGATCTGTCCTTGGGGGTGTTACATTAAGTGAATCTTTAAATAGTCGGTAAGTATTTTATGTCCGTTAATTTGTCCCGTATTGACTCACAGCTGGTTAATCCACTCCTGGTGATCTGATAACACTAACCACTTCTTCGCATTATCGATGTCCGATGGTGATAAAGTTAAAAATATCAGAGACTGGTACATCCAAAGAGTCGATAATAGTTGGTTGGTTTGTTGTTTAAAGCCGCACTCAGCAATACTCCAGCTGTATGACGGTGGTCTGTAAATAATCGAGTCTGGGCCAGACAATCCAGTGGATTTATCCACGCAACGGGGATCGACATGCATCATCCAAGTCAGCGAGCCTGACCACCCGATCCCGTTGGTCGCCTTTTACGGCAAGCATAGTCGCCTTTTACGACAAGCATAGTCGCCTTTTTACGACAAGCATAGTCGCCTTTTACGGCAAGCATAGTCGCCTTTTACGACAAGCATAGTCGCCTTTTACGACAAGCATAGTCGCCTTTTACGACAAGCATGGGTTGCTGAAGACCTATTCTACCCCGAGTCGGTAATAGAACGCAATTTATTGGTCCACGATAATTCAGAAATTAGGTTAGATCTGCTGATTACATGTAATACTGCAGGACAAAAGAATGTATACACTTGAAAATTTGGAGTTGAACAGAAGATGAGGTCGGTAAACGTTAGCAACCGTTACTAGGCTGAAAACAGTCGCAGAAACACTGCAAACTTAAGGTCCAAAACACAACAACGACACCCGTATCAAATACATCATCGTTTAAAAACCATTTCTTGTTTGTTTCATTTTTAGCCACCATCAAACATGAGTGGATGTTTTCTTTTGCCTGTGGGTTTATTTGACTGCACGTTCTGCAATCGACGCGAAATCGTATGATTAGGTCCAGCCCATGTGGGAGGAAATCCCGAAGTGATGCAGGTCTCTGGCATTTACCATTGTTGTAAATCCCACGAGCACGGATGTGGTGCTGACAAACCTAAAACATAATTTGGGCGAACAAGGATTCGAACCCACAATCATAGGTTCCTGATGTGACAAAGGGGCGCAACTCTGTGGCGGCTTAGACGACTGGGCCATCCGTGTACTCCCACAGGAAAGAACAGGCTGAACAACAAACGTGACACAAACACCCACGACCGGCTTGTGTACCTGCCTACGACCAAGTATACAAGATAATCTTAACCCACTATGCGGTACAACACATTCATCTAGACTTGCCAAGTCTCTTTGGAAAAATCTAACGAAATCAATCCAAGCTACGCATTAATCACGATTGTGTCAGAATGTCAAGATACGATAAACAAACAAGTTTTATCCAACCATTGTCGTACAAACAAGTTACATAACAGTACAAACACCTTACAACAACGCAGAGCACTGAAATAGGCGACGTGACTCTGAACGTAATCAGGTCATTCCTCCTGCTGAGATAGCCTACTGTTATTTATCCGCCCGAGGCGGTGACCTGAATCAGGGCTTTGTAGATGTTGTGTAGTAGTTGTTGTTGTACGACGTCTTAGCCCTTCCGTCCTGGTCGTCTCGGATATACTCCAGATATACACAATATCTACATACGGGATTTGCTGCAAATTTCACGATTTCTCCCTTCAGTTGGACAAGGTAATGCATTTAACGTTCATTGAAGTATTTATCTATTCTCTCTCTCTTATTACATAAGTTGAATTGGTCGCGCCTGACGTAGCATGTTATCGTTGATGACGTTTGATACCTCGAGATGCTAGTTATCTGTATACGTGAACAAAGTGTATAGGTATATATAACCCCGATTATACAATGTATAACATCTTACTATGATATATATACATATATATATCTTCGTAAAGAAGTATCGTATTGTCGGATGCTTTTAGCATCATCTTCATCATGTTGTTGTCACTTGACCTGATAGCACAATGGAGACACGACACTAATAGTAATTCTGATAAACGTATTTCCTATGTCCATATATTACCATGGCAACATTTGTTTGTAACTGTCCACTTAAGTTGTAAAAGGGTACTTATGTATATAAGTGTTTTGTATTAATACCGCTGCTGTCTTTTCCAATCCCCATATACACAATTCTACTTGTGCATAAAAGCTTTAAAGGGCCAGATGCGCAATCATCCGGAACATACTATGACAGCGTTAAGTATCTCGGAAATACTCTGTGAGAGATAAATACAACTTATGTCGGGATATATTTAAGCAAACTACAGCTACCGATTGGACTATATGTTGTATCCTTGAACGTGCCTCGTTTTTAGGTGTTGCTTAATCGTGTACACGGGTCAAATACACATAACCTGTGTATTCAGCGTTGTGATTCACAGCTCTTATACCGCGCGCTATATCGAGGTATCTAAACATTCCCGTAGATAAGAAAATAAGTTGGACATAACACATATCAATCTTCATGGTTAATGTTCGTTAAATGATTAGGATAATATTGCTAGTGGTTGCAGTGGAACTTTAATCCATACAATATTCAATTTTGACCTGATATCCGAATCCAGATTGAACACAATACGTTGACTATTGTTAAAACGATATGTGTACATAGTATTTTCTTTGCCGAAGCAAAACCCCATTGCCGTAAGGTGGTGTCAATGTCTAAGTACTTAAATTAGAAAAGCACCATAGCAAATATGTCGATCACGAAATCGATCTGTCTATCTGATAATAAAACAACAGAAAACACGTTGTGTCAACGCGGTCGAGCCCTACCCTACCACGAAATAAATATACAACTCAAAACAAGCTAAGAACACCCGCAATTTGAAGTCTGTGTGTTGCAATACCAACCCGCCATGACAGTTTAACTATAATCACGTGAAACAAATCGGATGTTCTTTATCTTCGAGTAGGATACACCTAGCGACCCTCTTTGGTCTCAACTATTGATATAACAATATTGACAGGCAGATATTCTGAAAATAAATTGCATTGCACTTTGTAATACAAGCAACACTTCCTTTCTTTACCAAATCAGTAAACTTAGAAATAAAACAAACATGTTGTAATCACCTTAAGGAGCAGATATGTATGTCGACTGCACGTAAATAAATGAAAAAAATATTTTTTCCCAAATTCGGAAAGAATTTTTTGTCACATTTTTCTTTTAACTGGGTTATTTCCTCGAATCGACGGCGTCATCTGGAAAAAAAATCCAGCATCATTTTTTCGATACATTACACCGTGAGGGGCTGGGCGCCCCGTGGCTTAGGGTTCATTAGAAGGAAAGGCTGTTCATAGTAAAGAAGACATGTTTGTCGTTCTGGAATGTAAACTTGCGTCACAATCATTTACAGCGACAACGCTTTAATGTCAGCTTGAACAGATGTCTGTTGATGTCCTTGACATGCTCAGATAGATATGAAGTGTCTTATGAGACCTTGAACTGTCAGTGTAGGCTGTGAGTGATGTCAGTGTAAGCTATGTTTGTTTGTTGTTTAACGCCGCACTCAGCAATATTCTAGCTACATGACGGTGGTCTGTAAAAAATCGAATCTGGACCAGACAATCCAGTGGTTGACATCCCACGCATTTGGGATACGATGACACGCATCAACCATGTCAGCGAGCCTGACCAACCGATCCTGTTAGTCGCCTCTTACAAGCATAGTCGCCTTTTTACGGCAAGCATTGATCGCTGAAGACCTATTCTACCCTGGATCTTCACGGGTCAGGCTATGTAGTAAAGTCTATACGTAAATCCGTAATCAGTCCGTATTAACAGGGTCTCGCTGTATTGGAGTGGTGATAGTTACAGTCGTTCTGTGAATTAACAAATGTCCGGATAAACGAAGCCTGGGAGTTGTAGTGTTCATGTGTATGTATACTGGCGTTCTCAAAACGATCGTCCCGAAACAGAGGTTTCCGGATTAACAAGGTCCGGATTAACAGCGTTCATTCATACACATACACATAAGCTGTGTCTGGTGGGTGAGTGAGTGCATGTCGGTAGTGTTTTTTCTCTGATTCCTACAGCTTCGTGGGTGTCGTGCAGTAAACTCGTCACCTTCCTGAGGATGGGGTCAGAGCGATAAATCACCGATAAATCACCATATCGTGCCTGCAGAGACACAGCGACATGACGCATACTTGCGTGATTCCATTCACGTGTCGGCTGTAAATGCGTGTGTTCTTTTGTTACCATTCGGCTACAAATAACAACACAATAGAAATACTGTGGAGATTTCGCTATGTGCAATGCTACCAACATTGTCCATGTTATGCTGTGGGTAAGTTTTATGTTCCTCACGTATAAGGGGGTCGGAGTATGGAGGTCCGAATTTTAGGTTATAAGCCCGGGATATCGAGGTCCGGTATCTATGTAGTAAGGAGTCCGGGATATCGAGGTCCGGTATCTATGTAGTAAGGAGTCCGGGATATCGAGGTCCGTTATCTATGTAGTAAGGAGTCCGGGATATCGAGGTCCGGTATCTATGTAGTAAGGAGTATGGGATATCGAGGTTCGGTATCTATGTAGTAAAAAAGAGCCCGGAATGTCGAGGTCCGGTATCTATGTAGTAAGGAGTCCGGGATATCGAGGTCCGGTATCTATGTAGTAAGGAGTACGGGATATCGAGGTTCGGTATCTATGTAGTAAGGAGTCCGGGATATCGAGGTCCGTTATCTATGTAGTAAGGAGTCCGGGATATCGAGGTCCGGTATCTATGTAGTAAGGAGTCCGGGATATCGAGGTCCGGTATCTATGTAGTAAGGAGTACGGGATATCGAGGTTCGGTATCTATGTAGTAAGGAGTCCGGGATATCGAGGTCCGGTATCTATGTAGTAAGGAGTACGGGATATCGAGGTTCGGTATCTATGTAGTAAGGAGTCCGGGATATCGAGGTCCGTTATCTATGTAGTAAGGAGTACGGGATATCGAGGTTCGGTATCTATGTAGTAAGGAGTCCGGGATATCGAGGTCCGGTATCTATGTAGTAAGGAGTACGGGATATCGAGGTTCGGTATCTATGTAGTAAGGAGTCCGGGATATCGAGGTTCGGTATCTATGTAGTAAGGAGTACGGGATATCGAGGTTCGGTATCTATGTAGTAAGGAGTCCGGGATATCGAGGTCCGTTATCTATGTAGTAAGGAGTACGGGATATCGAGGTTCGGTATCTATGTAGTAAGGAGTACGGGATATCGAGGTCCGGTATCTATGTAGTAAGGAGTACGGGATATCGAGGTTCGGTATCTATGTAGTAAGGAGTCCGGGATATCGAGGTCCGGTATCTATGTAGTAAGGAGTACGGGATATCGAGGTTCGGTATCTATGTAGTAAACAAGAGCCCGGAATGTCGAGGTCCGTTATCTATGTAGTAAGGAGTCCGGGATATCGAGGTCCGGTATCTATGTAGTAAGGAGTACGGGATATCGAGGTCCGTTATCTATGTAGTAAGGAGTCCGGGATATCGAGGTCCGTTATCTATGTAGTAAGGAGTCCGGGATATCGAGGTCCGGTATCTATGTAGTAAGGAGTACGGGATATCGAGGTTCGGTATCTATGTAGTAAGGAGTCCGGGATATCGAGGTCCGGTATCTATGTAGTAAGGAGTACGGGATATCGAGGTTCGGTATCTATGTAGTAAGGAGTCCGGGATATCGAGGTCCGTTATCTATGTAGTAAGGAGTACGGGATATCGAGGTTCGGTATCTATGTAGTAAGGAGTCCGGGATATCGAGGTCCGGTATCTATGTAGTAAGGAGTACGGGATATCGAGGTTCGGTATCTATGTAGTAAGGAGTACGGGATATCGAGGTCCGGTATCTATGTAGTAAGGAGTACGGGATATCGAGGTTCGGTATCTATGTAGTAAGGAGTCCGGGATATCGAGGTCCGTTATCTATGTAGTAAGGAGTACGGGATATCGAGGTTCGGTATCTATGTAGTAAGGAGTCCGGGATATCGAGGTCCGGTATCTATGTAGTAAGGAGTACGGGATATCGAGGTTCGGTATCTATGTAGTAAGGAGTCCGGGATATCGAGGTCCGGTATCTATGTAGTAAGGAGTACGGGATATCGAGGTTCGGTATCTATGTAGTAAACAAGAGCCCGGAATGTCGAGGTCCGTTATCTATGTAGTAAGGAGTCCGGGATGTCGAGGTCCGGTATCTATGTAGTAAGGAGTACGGGATATCGAGGTCCGTTATCTATGTAGTAAGGAGTCCGGGATATCGAGGTCCGTTATCTATGTAGTAAGGAGTCCGGGATATCGAGGTCCGGTATCTATGTAGTAAGGAGTACGGGATATCGAGGTTCGGTATCTATGTAGTAAGGAGTCCGGGATATCGAGGTCCGGTATCTATGTAGTAAGGAGTACGGGATATCGAGGTTCGGTATCTATGTAGTAAGGAGTCCGGGATATCGAGGTTCGGTATCTATGTAGTAAAAATGAGCCCGGAATGTCGAGGACCGTTATCTATGTAGTAAGGAGTCCGGGATATCGAGGTCCGGTATCTATGTAGTAAGGAGTACGGGATATCGAGGTCCGGTATCTATGTAGTAAGGAGTACGGGATATCGAGGTTCGGTATCTATGTAGTAAGGAGTCCGGGATATCGAGGTCCGGTATCTATGTAGTAAGGAGTACGGGATATCGAGGTTCG